AGACCTGGGAGAGTAATTTAGCCAGCAGGAACTCCAGCTGCTTCGCATTACACGGATTTCCCACAGCCGAGAGGGCAGAGTTTACTCTCCTCTGAGAAATAAAAGCATTTTGTCTCCCCGGGGCCTGCTTTCCTCCTCCCTGGCGTTCTGGTGCCTTGCCTCGTCGCCTGGCCTGCACAAGGGGCTGTTGGCACAGGGAGCCGCACGTGGCCTTAGGTGCTCAGGGCGGTTGTGCAGGGGTAGAAGCAGAACAGGAGCAGCTGCCCCAGCCTCTGTTTCAATACCATGGCTCAAGGAAAGACTTGCAACATCTATGGGCTTTTTACCCTAGCTCTCCTGCTGTTAGATATATGAGCACTTGGTAACCCGAAGTCAGAAATCTCAGGATTGGGTTTTGTTTTATAAAGCAATATAGACAAAATGCATTTAAATCCAGAGAGACCTGCAAAGCAAACCAGTAAATATTTCCCCCCTTTTAAGAAATCCAATAAAAGATTTAGATTAGATTAAAATTTAAAGCACACCTACACTTCACTGGGCAAAATCCAGCCCTGCTGGACCTGACTGGCTGCATGCCCTGCAATCTGTGTTTGCTTTATTGCTTGCAGGCTCTGCACTGCCTAAACACTGAGAATCTGGGCTTTGTTCCTGAAGCCTGGTGCAAAAAGGACCCCGGGTTTTCTTTGCAGATCCTTGTCAGCTGCTCATCACCTTAAGACCCTGGAAGAAGTGATTATTTCTTTTTAAGTTGTTTCATGAGGCTGAATTTTAACTTGTTTTCTTCCTGATGGGTATGTTGAGGCACATCCTTAGGCTATGGGGAACATATAGGCAGAATAAAAGCTTTACTTTCATATCTGAGTAAAATTAAGAATACTCGACTGCTCTTTATTTTGCAGTTCCATTTATAACTCGTTCCTGCTAGCTGGGGGGTCGCAGTCTCAGCGCTGCTTGGGGGTCCCCTCCAGGGCAGTGCTCCTGGTCACAAACCTGCACCCGCTGCCATCCCCAGCTCCAGCGCTGTCCCCAGCACGAGCTAAGCGGGACACCCCAAACCCGGCAGCCTCTGGCTGCTGCTCCTGTTTCTTGGTTGTTCCACTGCCAAGGCCTGGAGGAGGGCAGGCCCTGCTGGGCTCCCTCATTCCTTCTCCTGTTTGCGCTTTTTCTCGCTGCACTGCTCAATTTCTAGGAGCTGTCGCTAAAGCACTGGGAAGCAGCAGCTTTGTTTTCCTTTCCTGTATCCGTGTATTCCGCAGGTGTGCGGGTGCCGTGCACTGCACGCACGGACCTCGCCGGGTCCCCCCTGCTGCCATCGCTGGCTCCTGGGTGGCACCTGTCACCACCCTGGTGCCACCCAGACCTGCTCTGGGAGCAGCCGCAGGGTCCCAAGGCCCCCGCGGCGCTGGGGCTGCCAAGGTCCCTGGCAGTGCCCATGTCTGCGTGAAGGCCGCAGGAGCCGTCACAGGGCCCCGCCTGCAGGGCAGAGGAGCCTTCCTCTTCCTCCTCCTCCTCCTCTTCCTCCTCCTCGTTCCGAGATCGCGGTGCTGTGCCCGGAGCCCGCGGAGCTGGCGCAGCTCCCGTGCAGACAGACACAAGGGCACAACCAAAACGGAGCAGGTCCCGCCGGGAGCGCGGCAGGGACCCCCGCGCGGTGTCTGGGCCGCCCAAGCCCCTGCAGCCCTGCGTGCTCGGGCCCTCCGTGCTGCGACCCGCCAGCATCCTCCTTCCTGGAGCCTCTGATCACTGCCTGCGCCTGTGCCGTCCCCAGGGCCCTGGGAAAGGCTGCAGTAAAACAACCAGCCGTGTCTTCCTACGGGAGACGTTTACCCTAGTACTTCTGCAATTTAGTGCAAAGTTTTTTATTTCATTGCAGGTTTACAAGCTGGCAGTTAAAAAAGCGAAGCAGCGGTGTATACTGTGACACTGCACAGGGGAAACATCCCCGGAACCAGCAGGGTCCAGGGATTCGCTTCGGCGGT